TTGGAAATTGTACAGTAAATCTATATATAGTTAATGATAATATTTTTCATATTATATTGGCATATAGTTAGTTGTGAAATATTTAATTATGTTTCTGATAGTTACTGATCCATATGTGTGATGGACAGTGAACAGAACTGTGGTGCTATACATACATTCAATAAAGGAACATTAGGAACAACCTGCTTTAGAGAACAGTCTTACAATAATAATAAAGAAAAATAAATTTTGTTAGTGACGTTTGTTGTGTTTTTTAAAACCTTGAATTCCTGGAAAGACCCCCTCATCGACGTGTTGGATGGAGGGAAAAGAGGAGGGGAATAAAGGAAAGGAAGCAGAAGTCTGAGGGGAGGGGAGGGGGAGGGGGAAATGCAGACCGGCTAGGCGGTTCACTAGATTCTGGAGGTCAGTGGCTGACTTTCAGTCAAGTTCGGTGCAAGAGAGGAAAGTCTTGCCCGTGGTTAATGCACGAAATCTATGGATATCCTCTGGAAAAATGGGGATTTTTGGATTGGAGTCTTTCCTGTTGAAATATCTTCCAAACGCATGCCCCAGGGTGAAACTGGAAGATCTCATCAAAGAGTACCGGTATGTTGTAGCTCCAGCATGGGGTTATGAAGTTCAAACGTAAACATTGGCCTGTTGACGAACAAAATATATGTGTGCGCTGGACGGATCCGGACAAAATTTGAATGGATTGAATGTGATTTGTGAAAAGTGTCCTGACACGCCAGTAATTTCCAGGAGAGAAACCGGACGAACATCATGTGTGACGGTCATCGACACAAACATACTGATACGACAATGTCTAGATGACTTGGATATTGTGTGCGGCGGGCAATTCGCCGAATATAAAATCAATCTCCTCAACTACATCGGGCGTTTGACCGGTAAGGATGTTTTGGGTGTTAAACTTGCCACAACGGGCATGACCACGAGCCCGGCATGGATCTGGTCAAAAGGGGTTTTTATTTCTGTCACCCTCGGCACCTTTTATAGAGTTCCCCCCTCTTAATTTGCGTTGTCCAGGGCTTTTGGTAGTTATTTCGTTTCCTTCCACTGTAGCTCTGGGCATCTCGCCGGTGTTTTTTCTGGACGGGAGCGTGGACCGCGGCAAGATGAGGTGCTGGATGGACCGCCAAATGGAGAGGCAGGAGCGACTCAGGCGGATCTACCAGAGTGTCGACGAGGGCTGCAACAGGTCCATCATCGCCGCCGAGGACACCATCATCCCTGCGGGGATGTATGAGGCGACGATCATCACCATCCAGGAGGCCAAGTACCCCATATTCTGTGCGGTGTCCGACGCCGACGTCGAGATGGCCCAGTACGCCCGCGCCAACAAGTGCTTCGCCATCATGTCGCGAGACACGGATTTTATTATCCTGCGCGGCGCCCGGTACTACGTGTCGCTCTTCTACAAGCACTTTAGGGCGAGCGACATGTCGACGTTCCTGTTCGATCGCGAGGCCATCGCCAAGGCCCTCGGCCTGCACCCCGACCACCTGCCTCTGCTCGCGTCGTTGCTCAAGAACGACTTTGTAGATGGCGGTTACCTGCAGGTGAGTATCGCACACTTGCATTCCCTAGTAGTGCAGCATTAAATGCGGCAATGCGCTTGAAACCGCACTTAAGAGCCCGGGTTCTCGCGACCAGCCCCTCTCTCTGAATTGACCCGTGACTCTTTTTGTTGGTGTTGAAGCCGCTGTACAGCAAGCTGATGGGGCGACGCACCGCTGCTCTCAAGCAAGATCAGTTTTACCGGCTCGACCAGCTGATACCGACGCTGGTGGACTTCATCAAGCGCGAGCTGTGGAGCAAGGCGGACCACGTTGGGGCCATCCTGGATAGCACCTTCAACGGCTACCCGCCCTTCCTGCTGCGCAACTTGGCGCGCGAGCTCGGGCTGCGCGACCAGTTTGACATGAAGGAGCGGCTGAAGAAGCAGCTGGAGGTGAGCTTGGCCATGCACGAGTACGCCCCGCGCAACGCTCCGCTGGCGCGGCCCTTCTCGCCGCAGCCCGAGCCGGAGACGGACGCGGACCCCGAGGGTGAGTCTCTTCTGCCGGCCCCGCCGCCCGCCGTCCGCGCCGTCGCGTCCCTATAGAGAGACACATCCAGGAGCGAGCTTTTCAGAGGAGATGTTGCTGCGGTGGTGGATTGGCTACCTGCTTCCGAGGGTCTACGCAAAGGGATAGGCGGGACCCAGCCGGCCCATGTGTTGCGGGGGTAGCTGAGGAGGTAGTAGTGCAGAAGAGGGCCCATAAGAAAAGCTCGCTCCTAGTTGTGTCTCCCTATAGTTAGTTAGTCACTCACCCTGGACTTCCCCCCTACGCAGTGCTTGAGATGGCCCGCGTGCGCCACCGCAACGTCTCCTTCCTCAACTCGGTCGTGCTCTCGCTGCTGGCGCGGCGCACCTACGAGATGGGCCCCGCCCTCGAGGACCCGCGCCTGCCCGTGGCTTGCACCTCCGAGACGGCGCTCAGGCCCTTCCGCCGGCGCGTGTACGGCCTGCTGCAGATGCCGGGGTTCTTCACGGAGGTGATCGTCCCCGCCCGCGCGCCCACGCCCGACCTGCCCGTGTACCGCTGCCTCGTGGTGCCCGTCAGCCCAGGTAAGCGCCGCCGCCGTGCTGGGCCGCGTGCCCACACACCTCAACCGTGTGCCTGCTGCCTTCGCAACCTTCAACCTTTGACTCGGTGCCGTCTGCTCCGCAGACCCGAGGGTGCACCCGCACCCTGGACTGCTGGCGCTGTGGCGGGAGCACAACGAGGACGACGCGGACCTGGGGGGCGACCGGTGGCGCCTCTTCGCCTGGGCCCTGGCCGCCCATCGGCACCGCTCGGCACCGGTGGACGCACTAGCAGACATGTTGCGGGAGCTGCCCAAACACCTGGTGGTCCCGGCGTCTTTGGTCTACCTGCTGTACCACTCCAAGGCCCTGGAGGGCTTCGACCGCTCCGCCGCCGACCTGGTGCGCATGCTGACGAGGACCTCCATGGTGGCCAAGCTGGTCTCCGAGACCGCCCCCGGGGAGCTGTACGTTGCGAGCTATGACAAGACGGTGGTGCATGTGGCCGCCCTGTTCATGAGGTCCTTCACATACCTGTCTGTTCTCAACGATGTATTGGGGGCGCCAGTGCCTCTTGACAAGGTGAGTTTCAGCCCGGTTGAAGCTTCCATGCGTGTGACACACGTCGTGTGTGGTCCTGACTGTTTCTCTTTCTCACCCAGCTGCACCCTGCTCTATACTTCAATGGAAAACTGTTTCATAAAATCTTTATGAATGAGCAGCCTCTTGATCCTGTTATTGTAAGTCTACAACTCAATACTTATGCGTAAATGTGGGATTACTTTTTGTAGATGTCATGTGACCTTTTTTTTTTTTTTTTAGCGTTCGTCCATAGACGAAGGGACAGAGAACCTCATCATAAAAACAGTATGTGAAGAAGTTGCTGAAGTGTATGAATATTCAGAGGAATAGCTTGTTAATTTTATCATTGGAATCATTTTATCCTTTTGACTATTTTGGCCACTTATGTTTCCTTCCATGTACTATTTGTTTTAAAGTGTTAAGTTTCTTACTTGTAACAGGATATTTTTGGGGCCATTTCTTAATATTTTTTTGGTAAAATATCTTTTTTAATCTGTGATAAACACGAGACTGGTCATATATTATAATCCTCTCATAGTTGCATATTAGTATCATGATCATTTCTAGTCTATGTTTCAAAATGATTAAAATAAGACATACCAACAAATACCTGTGTATCTTTATCACCATTGTGCATGTACAGAGCGGGTTTGCGGGAGTCGAGCCAACTTTATCAAGTTTGGCAATGCCTCGGGCCCCGCCTTACGCTTTTCTTTCCTGTAGTATACCGAATGGCAAAAGTGTGAACCGCCCGAGCCCGGGCCCATGGGTACTGATAGCGGTCTGCACTCTGCACATGCAATGCTGCTGCAGGCTATGATACCGTGCGGGAGCGGGAGTTTGAGTAACTACGCAGGAGGGAGGAAAAGTGTTCTCGGCCGAGATGGAGTATACCGTGTCCTCTCGCGTAAGTCCGCGTGCGGGGGGCAATATTTGCTGAATCTCTGGACGGGGAGGGAGGGGAGGTGCCAGAACAATGATGACTGACAAGCCACCGTCTCGGCTGTAACCTACTTCAAAGCGTCTGCCTGAGCGATGCGTCTTCATCTGACGCAACCCCCGTGGCATTCTCGCGGAGATGACACCAAAACCAGGGCGCCACGCCCGTCCCGAGCCCGAGGGCATAAAAAGTGTGTGGGCTCCGCGTCGCGAACCACTTGTCCGGCTGAATATCGCCAGTTCACGCGTGCGCCAGAGAGACCGCGATTCACCATGAAGCTGCTCGTGTTGTTGACGGTGACGCTCTTGGCGTCGGCCAACGCGCGCTCGCTGCGCCTGCCGGAGGCGCGCTTCGCCTCGCTGGAGGGCTTTGCCGAGGACATGTACGACGCGGAGGCCGTCCGGGCGCCTCGTCACCTCGCGGACTTTGCCGAGTTCGACCGGCCGCTGAGCCCCGACGCCGTTGACCTTAGCCCACACCACCGCTTCGCTCGCGGTGCCACCGAGCCGTGCGACTGCGCCGACAACCCCGACCTGGTGGGCGAGATCGTCGAGACCGCCCCTATCGAGGAGGGGGAGGAGGGGCCGTTCTGTGCCGAGTTCGCCGTGCCGCCCCATCCCGAGCAGCCCGCCGTCGTCTACGAGCTCGTCGAGGCCCCGGAGGAGCGCGCGGGGGTGGAGCTGACCGCAGACGACGCCCAGCTCGAGGATGACCAGGAGGCGACACTCTGCGACGAGGGACTGCACCCCGAGGACGAAGCCGACGTCGAGCCGTGCGCAGGGAGGCCTGCCCGACAGCTCAAAGTGGGAAGCATTCAGGACGAGGACAGCGAGGAGGCGCAGCAGACCGCGTCAGAGGTCGTGGAAGGGAAGTCCGCCGCTGCCGAAGAAGTCGACGCTGAGACCAGCGCGCAAGGGGAGATTGACGTTAGCAAGAAGGTCAAGAGTGAAGCTACTGAAGGGGTGAGGGCTGAAATCAGTGATGATGTGAAGGCTGAAACCAGTGAGGGCCTGCAGTCTAGTGAGGGTGTGAAGGTCGAGGCCAGTGAGGGTGAGAAGGTCGAGGCTAGTGAGGGTGAGAAGGTCGAGGCCAGTGAAGGTGTGAAGGACAAGGCCAGTGAGCGTGTAAAAGTCGAGGCTAGTGAAGGTGTGAAGATCGAGGCTAGTGAGGGTGTGAAGGACAAGGTCAGTGAGGGTGTAAAGGACACGGTCCGTGAGGATGAGAAGGTGGAAGCCAACGACGGGGCTGCCGCGGTCCTGGGTGTCCCAGCCCAGAAGGACACCGCGGAGCCACAGGCAGCGTCCAAGTCTACCAAGTAGTTCGCCTCGTCGGAACACCAGTTACCGAGGAGGTACAGCCAGCTGCAGGTGAGTGTTTTAATGGACCCTCTTTTGTCCTCGTGTGCTCGCTGCTCGCTTTGAGTGGAATGTTAGATAGTCAATCATGCCGCTGCACTGTTGAATGGAATCAGTGAAAAGTTATTCCCCGTGTGGCAGCACACGGGGACAAGGGCGCATCGAGTTTCACAACGTCATCTGAATTGTTTCGTAAAGGGAAATGCAGGGGGCTGGCCTCAGCAGGTGGCCGAGCCTGCTCGCAATCCGCTTTCTCCGACGTTCAAGTCACAATCACCCTTTTAAAATTGAACAAATGATTTAATCTTTCAACAACCTTTGATAGCGCGTTTAGACCGAGGTCTCGACTGTGTGCTTTACACTGGCGCGATTTTTTTTTTCGAACCCATAATAGTCAGTACTGCAGGTGTCGTGTCGTATGGCGAAACCGGAGCAGCCTGTACAATGACCGCCCTTTGAACCATCAGCACTTTCAATACCGTGCCTCCTATCTGTTTCAGGGTAGCAGCCCCGCTATGGAGACCACGGCGACACGCCCCAGCCCGCTACGCCACGCCGCGCCGCTGCCTCGCCGCTGCCTCGCCGCGCCCCGCGTTGCTCGCGCCGCGCCCCACCCCACCGGGCCTGCCGGCCCCGCCCCGCTTCACCCTGCCGTGCCTGATCAGCGATAACCTGCCGCGGGGGATGGGGAACGAAGGGGTATAAAAGGGAATCCTTGTTGGGATTTTAGTTTTTATGTCGTAGGTTTACAAGTATGTCACAATGACATACGTTTGGAGAGTAAAATGGACTGATAATTTAAGTTGATGTACAGGTCTCTTTTCGTGGACACCCAATAAATTATTTAAGTTTAAAGTCTATGTCTCACTCTGACGAACCCAAACCCACACTTCATCAAGTGCGCGCCTACAAAAGAATGTGGTCTACTTCTTGACGACTGTGTAGCCATGCAAATGGTCGGCGGTGGCCGCGGCAACCCTTTTCTGATGAGACAGGTAAGAAGTATGTGCAGAGCTGAGGCAGCACTGGGCTTCCTGGGGGCCTCCACTGCCCGGCCTGCCCCGCCGCGGCGCGACTGAGGTGAGGCCTGCGAGCAGCGCGCCCCGGCCCCGGGGTCGGCGATCGACAGAGTGCCATTCAGTCAGCATTCACGTGCACCTAGCGCATAAGGGTGATTGTGCGCTTTCGCGCCAGAGTCAGCGCAGCTCAGCTCCAGCCCCGCAGCGGAAAGCGCTTGCACGAGCGCACGCGTCAGCGCTGCCCGAGCCCCCCCGGCACCGCGTGAGCACCGCGACGAGCCGAGTCCGAGCCGAAGAAGGAGTGCGCGGCCGAGCACTCTGTCAGTTGCAGCCACCATGTCACGCTCGCGGGTTCTCTCCTCCCCGATGGCCGCCACCGCCGCCGTGGTCGCCGTGGTGCTCCTCCTGGCCGCGCCCGCCTGCTGGGGAGCGCCCGCGACGGACGCGGCCGACAAGGCCCTCGTCGGCGAGAAGCAGGCCGCGCTGTACGAGGCCGCCGACACCACCGGGCCTGTCGGCAACAGGAAAGACCGACAGAAGAAGCAAACCACCACCGTCTGCATCCAGGTTAGTACCCACCCGAGTCCGCTCACCCTCACCTGCGGCCCCTGTCCCCAAGTGTTTGTCCTGACGCCGTCCCTCCCCGTGCCGCAGGTGGCTCCAGTCCAACCGGGCGGCTCGCCGGCGGTGCTCTGCGGTGACAGGACACAGATCGCAGAGGAGCAGAGACGGCTCCAGCAGACGCCCGTGTACCAAGTGCAGCAGCCCCAGCACGGCTACTATGGCTCCCCGCACGTCGTCCAGATCGTGCCGGCGACCGACACCCTGACCGTCAACGCCCCGGGCCAGCCAGTGCTCCAGCGCACCCAGAGCATCGTCATCAACCCCGGCTTCTCGTCGCCCTCGGACACCTTCAGCATCTACGCCAATAACCCGTTCATGCGCAGCGCCGACTCTGGCGTGCCTGCCAGCGGCCCCGCCCCCGCGGCCGCGCCCGCCCCCGCCGCGTCGGCCCCTGCGGCCGCCCCCGCCGAGTCTGCCCCCGTTTCGTCCGCCCCCGTTGCGTCCGCCCCCGCGGCTGCCAAAACGCTGGCTCCTGCACCACCGAGCCAGGCCGTGAGAGACATCTTCGCCAACCCCAGCAACGCCCCTGCACCCGCTGCCGCCCCTAAGGCTGCTCCTGCGGCCGCCCCCGCCTCAGCCGCTCCCGCCGCCCCCGCTGACCCCGCTGACCCTGCTGCTGCCGCTGCCACCGCTCCGGCCGCTGCCCCTGCCGCTCACCAGACCCAGGCGCGTTCCTTCGGTGACCAGGAGATCATTGTGTCTTCCCAGCAGGGCGGACTCCACCGGCCCTACGGCCCCTACAGCTCCGGGACCCAGCAGGTGTCGGTGATCCAGCAACAGGACCCTTACCTTCACCGCGGCTCACAGGTATGAGAGCAGATTCAGCCGACACTACACGGTGGTGTACCATAGGCCCTACACTTGGTTTTTCTTATATTGTACCGCATTGACGCGTGCGAACCGGTTGCCTACTCGCACGGCGCCCTGGTACCACGGTGGGAGATGGTACGCACGCACGTACAGAGCACGGGCTGTACCGGGTGATTCAGAGAAGACGCAGGTGCGGGCGGGTTTGCCTATCCTCGACTCGGCGGGCGCACGGGTCCAGGTCTGGGGAGAGGTGAGGAGGGGACCTGTGCGCCGTGCGCCCACCGAGTCGAGGATAGGCAAAGCCGCTCGCACTTGCGTCTTCTCTGAATCACCCGGTATGCGGTACAAGGGTACAGGATAAGCAAAACTAAGCACAGGGTCTTTGGGACACCTGTATATTTCTTCATTGGTTCTCAAAAAATCTGACGTTAATTCTGCCGCAGTTATTCATTCTGTGCACGGTGTAGAGAGATCTCTCTACACCGTGATTCTGTGGTTATCGTGTTGATTCAATTTCTTACAACATGGTTCTCTAATCGTTGCCCTCAGGTGGACATTATCACCAATTCCGGTATGGGAGGCATGGGCGGTGGCTTCCTCCACTCTGGCCCACCCATGATCGGCGGCATGAACTACCGTGCTGCCGAGTCCGCCGACTTCGCTCCGTCGGCGCCGCCAGCCCCTGAATCGTCTCAGAAACAGCAGCAGGCCAGGACTGCGCTGCTGCAGCCCATCGTGATGAAGAAGGACCTCGTGATCCCCGCGGTCGGCGCCGCCTCCTTCGGCGCCGCCGCCTACGCCCCCGTCTCCCTCGCCCCCGTGCGTACCCAGTTCATCGCCCCCGTCAGCGCCAGCTCTGGGCTTGTCAACCTGGCCGCCTACGCAGCACCCACTGCTCAGCGGCAGGAGGTTGGCGTCAGCGGAATAGCCACGATCCCCGTCGGCGGCGGAGCTACCGTCCCCGTCACCCTCAACTGTGACCTCAGCACCTTGGCCCTCAGGGGACTGCCTCAGCAACCTCAGGTGAGCGAAACGATAAAAAAAAGTGTACGCAGTCGGTAGGACTCGAACCTACGCTCCCAGAGGGAAACTGATTTCTAGTCAGTCGCCTTAACCACTCGGCCACGACTGCGGCGGTGAAGGGGCGGCGACGTGTTGTGTTGTTGAAGTGGGTCGCGCCCGCGCCGCGGAGTGGCTGTGCCACTCTCGGCCCGCCCGCGGCCTGGCCCGGCCTCGCCAAGGAGAACGGGATTGATTCGGGGAACACTCCCGCGATTCGTCGGCAGTTCGGATCGAGTGTGACAAACCTTTCATGAATGTCCTCTCTTGTTCCAGGCCAATGGCGCCCCGGTGCCGGTGACCGCCGAGGCCTCCGCCAGAGCCGCGCACGAGAAGCAGATCGAAGACCTCACCAACCTCGTCAAGGAGATGCGGGCTCGCGCCAGCCAGGACCAGTCCGCCGCCGCCCCGAGCCTGCAGGCCCTCGCGCAGGAGGCGGACAAGGCGCGCGCCGCGGTGGAGGCACAGACCGAGTCCAAGACCGCGCCCAGCGCCCCGCCGGCGAGCCTGCAGGACATGACCCCCGGACAGCTCCAGGACCGCATGCGCAGCGCGGGTCAGGCCCGCTACTTCCCCGACCCCAGCCCCATCCACTCGTCGTCCGTGGTCGTGGGCATGTCGCCGGGCATGCAGATCGGCCGCAAGCAGACGACCGTCATCAGTAGCGGCGGCGGCGCGGGCCAGCAGAACTACTTCCCCGAGTCTAGGCCCATCTCGTCATCCGTGGTCCTGGGCACGTCGCCGGGCATGCAGATGGGCCGCCAGCAGACCACCGTCATCAGTAGCAGCAGCAGGAACAGCGACATGGACGCGGGCTTGGGCATGGGCGGTATGGGCATGGGCATGGGCATGGGTCCTGTCGGTGGTTTCGGCATGGGCTCTCTAAATCTTAACGGCCAGGGCTTCGGCCAGCAGGGCTTTGGCCAGGGCATCAATGGAGCAGGTTTCGGCGTCGGCGGTCCAGGGCGCCTTGGCAGCATGAGCACCTTCGGCGGCTTCGGCACGGGTCAATCGGGTAACTACGGTTCCTACCGAGAGGCTGGTCCTCAGCAGCCTCAGCAGGCTCAGCAGTCTCAGCAGTCTCAGCAGTCTCAGAAGCCCCAGCAAGCTCAACAGTCTCAGCATGAACAGTTGGCGGCCAGGGCGGCCGAAGCAGAGGCGTATATGAAGCAGATCAAACAGGCGCAGGACGCCCTGGTCGCCCAGCTCACATCCAGAGCGACGGCGCCTCAGCAGCCCCAGCCTTCTCAGCCTTCTCAGCAGCCCCAGCAGCCTCAGCAGCCTCAGGAGTCTCAGCAGACACTGGCGGCCAGGCAGGCCGAGCAAAAGGCTAACCTGGATAGAATGCGTAAAGTGCAGGCCGAACAACTCAGCTCTGGCAGCTACGGCAGGGCGTCGCAGGGTCCGTCTCAGCCCCTCGTCTCCCAGCTCACCTCCGGCAACACCGGCGCCCCCAGCTCCGTGACGTCACAGCCTCAGGGTCAGCTCGACAAGCCCAGGGCCAGCTCCGAGGAACAGATCATCCAGCCCGCCGACGGCGCGCCCAGGTCCATGACACAGCAGGAGCTTTTGCAGCACCTGCGCGAGGCCGAGGAGGACCTCCAGAGGGCGCGAGCGGCCACCCTGCCCCGGGAGGAGCCCCAGCAGCAGGCCACGACGGCGACACTCAGCACGCCGACCAGCACGTCTGCCGACAGCTTCCCACCCACCCCCGGCTACAGGCTCTTGTCTGCCAGGGAGAAGGAGGCCTTCACCAATGCCCCACGATACTTGTCCGCCCCTCTGTAATTCATCAACGTCCCATTCATAGTTTCCAATAATTTTTTTTTATGTGTTATTTTTTTATTTTTTACAAACCGTCCGATTAACATTTTTTTTTACATTTTGTGTTGATGTTTTTGCTGTCAATGAACGACGTGTGTTGACTGCCCAATAAAAGTACAAACGTTGGACGAAACAAATCTTGGTACAAATGACTGATGTCAAACCCATTTGAAATTCAAATA